AACCTAAGTTACACTTCCACAAAAATATAGGCTTAAGCTTCAACTGAGTGACAATGTATACTTTTCATGAATTTTACAACTGCTTCGAAGGTACACTCGATCAGCGGAGAACGCCTCGCACTCTCTTTTCATATCATTATCAGAAAAGTATGACAATAAATCAGTAATCAATTTTCGACACTACGTCTTAAAGTATGGCTAGCTTTCATCATGCGAATGAAATTTGAAAACTGGCGTGATTGATTTTTTTTTTTTTTTGGGACCAGCATGGCGTGATTGCTTATCTTCATGATACATCACCGAAACACATTAAACTTCGACGACAACAGCAACTAAAACCCCGGTCAGGTAGAAGCTACGGCCGCAAATTATGAACTTAATCCCAAAGGCACCATCTCGACAGCACAAACTTTAGCTGAAAACATTAAATCCTAAATCGAATATCAGATAAATCAAAACGAGAGAACATAAAGGCCCAGAAATAAGTCATCAAACAAGTCAACCGCTACTCAATTACAGGAATATCAAAAGTCTAAATCTCTAAAATTATCTATACACTGTTCCACACTCAAAAACACCGGAAAAAAAGGAACAAATTTAACACGAAAAAATGGCACAGTTCAAAAACAACTGCACCAGAAAAGCAAAAATATACGAGGAAGGGAGAGAAGGACTTACAGAGAAGGGATTAACCTCTTCTTCATCGAAGGGGTTACGGTCGTACCGACCAGCCATCAGAAAAAAGTGAACGGTGACAGGTACAAGTCCCAAGAATCAGAAGTTGAAAAGGCAAAGATCAGGACGTTTACAGAGGAAATAGAATCAGCAAGGCTCAAAAGGTGAGGGCTTAGGAATGTTGAGATGCAGAATTTTGGATTTCTTCAAGTGCAAGAGAAAGGTCAAAAGAAGAAGAGGCGAAAGACGGAGAAAATCAAAAATTCCTAGGAGCAAGATGAGATGTCTTCGGTCTCGGTCAGCAATAGCATAATACACCTTTCTACGAAATTTCGAAAAAACAAAGGAAACAGCGGCAGAGAGACTCTACGTTTCACTTTCGTCGTCGCTCGCATAAATTATGCGCCAATGTATAAACAAACATACATACACGAGTATATAAAATTTGAAAAAGTTTTGAATTTTATGAGTATCAATGCATTAGTTGTTGAATATTTGTAAGAATTAAGAATTTTTCATGATTTGAAAATAATCAAATAACAAGATTTCCAATTTTCTCATGAATTAATCATTTCATTTTCACTGAGGGGAAGAAAAAGAATATTACCCAAAGTTAAAAAAAATGAAGAAAAAAAAGAACATCTTCCAAAAAGAAAGTTAAAAAAAAAAAAAGGTGTAAATATGTGAGTTCTCATCAACAAGTCCTGATTTGCAGAAACGAGACAAAATATCATTCATTCGTGACCGACAAGATTATTTAAATGCATAAGCTGTCAAAAAGGTAAACAATTGGAGAATTCAAATTTTGTAATGTTGTTCTTTTCCCCAAAACATTAAAAAAAAATTGAGTTCTTAATATCTAATAAATTTACAAATATTTTTATTTTGGCTTAGTAATATTTGCATGGGTAAATGTTGTACTATTTTATAAAGAAAAACAAATTTCCCATTTCATGCATAAAAATTATTTAATTATTAAAAGGATGAACTAGACATTGGAGTTGATGTGATTTTCATGGTTGTTAAGGGATGAAATCCATGGTGAAGGGATCACAAAATTCAAGTTGGGCAGTTCAAATTAAAAAAAAAAAACGATATGAGTTATTTGTGACGAGAAAATAAAACTAAAAGGAAGTTTTCCACACTATTATAACACCAGCAATATTATATGAAAGTGAATATTAGACTTTAAAAGTACAGTATCAGTATAAAATAGGGCAGCCGATATGAGAACATTGATATAAGATGTTTGGAGTAACTACTGTCAATTAAAAAAAAGGTAAAAAATCATTTGAGATAATTTAGTCACATACAAAAAAGACTTTTAAATGTATTGGTGAAAAGAATTAATCAAGCAGTATTGAATCATCAAAAAAGAATAGAAGAAAACCAAAGAGAACACTTAATAAAATTATTGAGCAAGATTTTTCAACGAACACTATATCCAGAAATATAGCCTTTGATAAAGCTTAATGATATCGTGCAATTTATATAACCAGTCTCACTTAATGGAATAAGTTTTTATTGTTGTTATTAAGGGAAGAAATTCAAACCGCGTCATGCTGAAACATTTAATTTAATATTATGTTTTGCCGTGCGTGAGAGATTATTGCAACCCATATGTATATATAGAAAAGGGCACTGCGTCTGTATTTTTTTAATTGAAATGTCATTTTCTTCTTGGCCTTAACATATCATTAATATACATACTACACACCAAATCCTCCTTTTAAATAACAGGTCAACTACTGTGCTTTTTTTATTAAAAAAAAAGTTGTTAAGTACTTTGCCTTCATTTAAAAGCTATCGAGGTTCCGATCAAGTAATCCTTCTTTTTTATTTTTATTATTTTGTCTACAAGTAATCCTTCTATTTAAACTAATAAGAAACATCGGTTTTATTAATTAGATTTTTTTTTAATTGGGGCATGTATTCAATTAGATATGAAATGGGGGAGGAAACTAATCCCTCTTCCAAATCTAAATGACTAATGACCCTTTTGGCTATGGATAAGGACGGTGCGTGTAGGGGCTGATGATTGCGAGGAGCATAATGCTGTGGATTGTTAATCCTTTTTTTTTTAATGATTTTTTTATATTCTTTGTTTATTCCACAAAAAAAAAAATCCCAAAGAACTAAACACCGAGGGTGTATCTACTATTCCTTCTTGTGATGTTTTACATAATATTCATAACTAATGGCAAAATTTTCTAATTGATTAACCTAAAACCGATAACTAATGACAGCTATTAGAAAATTTTTGAAATTAAAAAATAATAATTTTAAGGAAAAATTGCAAATAAAGACCCCTCAATCTGTAAAATTTTGATTTGGGATCCTGATTTGAAAAATAACAAATAAGAACTGAGTCCCACTTTTGCAAATATGAAATATGGGTGAAATGTCCAAAGTGCCCCTCATTCAAATTGTGATTTGGTCTACTAAAGTTATCATTCGCTAAAATGAACTTGTCATTTCTCATAATCAACTCGTTATTTGGCATATCCTCAACCAAGTTGTGATTTAGTTCACTGAAATTGTCATTCACTAAAGTGAACTTGTCATTTCTCATAGTCAACTTATCATTTGACTGAGGGGCATTTCAGATATTTTATCACGATTTCATATTTGTAAAAGTGGGACCACGTCCCTATTTGCTATTTTTCAAATTAAAGGTTTCAAATCATAATTTTATATATTATGGGGTCATTATTTGCAATTTTCTCTAGTTTTAACCATCTTGGCTTACATGTAAAGTAGTTAATTCAAGCATTAAAAGAAAAGGACAGGCGGGAGTATTAGATGATTTTGGTGCGAAATACCAATTTAATTTGTAAGTAATATCATAACTTGGAATATTTAGCTTGTTAAATTACATATCTTTATTATCCTATATCTTAATGAGCATATGACAAGGTACCGGTCATGGAGAGGTACGCCGAAGTAATAGAGTTTTGGCATGAGGAAGTACCAGACAGAATATACATTGCAATTTTAATTTAGAAGACATGGAGATGAGACTGGAAGATCAAGCCGTTTCACATTAAGATAATTATACAAAAACATGAGAAAATTGATGGAGATATTAATTATAGAATTAAAGCTAGGTAGTTTAAATTGAGAAAGCTATTAAAATTATTTGTCAACGAAGTATCTAATAAAGTGAAACGAAAATTTTATTGAACTGTTATAACAGCAGTTATGATATATGCTAATGAATCCTAAGCTTCAAATGGATAACACAAACCAAAAAATGACGGTAGCTGAGATGAAAATTGAAGTGAATGGGCGGTCATATAATAAAAAATAAGATAATAAACATAAACACAAAGAGGTTGGAACAGCTTCTATTGAAGAAAAAAATGATAAAAAATCAGCCAAGATGGTTTATTCATGTTCAAAATAAGAGTGATAATATGGGCCAACCCGTAGGTTGTAGGTTGGCCCATGACGGGTTAGAGCTAAACCGTACGAGTTGAAAAGACCCATATAATGACGGGTTCGCTACTGCCATGGTGAGTTGGCTTCCGTTATAGTGGGTTGATGCCAACCCGTCAACTATTATTATTTTTTTTAACTTTTTTATTTTTAAAATATTTTTTCTTATACAATATAATAAAATTTTTACTTTTCCTTCAAATACTTAATTGAAAATATCAAATAAATGATATTGATATTTTTTAAAAAAATTTTAGATAGAATATAAAATATAATTATATAATTATAATAATTAATAAAATTTAAAAATACAAAAAAAATAAATGTCAGCTAACCCACAGCGAGTTGTGGGTTGTACAGTGCAGATTAAAAAGTTTTGTTTGCTAACGAGTTAAATTTTAACCAACCCTAACCTGTCATTTTTTATGGATTGGTGAGTTGAATCTGCAAGTGCAACTCATGTTACCAATTCTAGTTCAAAAGTTTTTGGATTCACTGGTAAGAGTAGTTGATAAAACAATATGAAATTTTGTAAAAAGAGATGGAAGAATAATCAATAAAATTATTGAGCAAAATCCTCCCGTTAACAACCTATCCAAAAATTTTGGTCATTGATAAAAGGTTAAAGCGCGATAGTTCTCATTTAGGGGGTGTTTGGCTTTTTTGCCAAACCATGGTTTGGTCCCAAACCATGGTTTGACAAAAAATTTGCCAAACACCCTCTTTTTTTTTAAAACCAAGGTTTGTGACAAAACCTTGGTTTTGGCCAACAAAACCTTGGTTTGGGATAAGCTCGCGGGAGTAGCTTCTGAGGGAGAATTATTGGCTCCAACGGTACATTAGCTCATGGTGTGGGAACAAGCACGCAGAGGTCCGTTCAGCTCCCATTAACGCAAAGGTCCAATATTCACCGGCTTGCCGGTGTTGCTGGCCACGGTGCGCACCACCGTGTCCACCTCGTCTCGCACCGACTGCCACGATCCCCCCCTCTTGCGGTTGAAGAGCTTCATGACGCAGAGCTTGCGCATCTGGAGCCAGAAGGGGTCGTAGTGAGCGAAGGCCATGTCGGCGCGGTCGTAGGTGAGGTAGCTGATGGCTATGGTGGCGGGTTGGTTGGAGATGTTGTCGTGGACCTGAAAAACTTGGCGAGCGGCGTCGGGGTCAGAGATGGCGACCATGCGGAGGAAGCCCATTTTGAGGTGGAAAACGCCACCGTATTGGGAGGCGAGCTTGGCCAGGCCTCTGTGGGTGAGCCGGTCCATCATCAGCATGTTGCTGATGATGGGGAGGCCTTTTGGCCCAGGCGGGAAGGGCAAGCGCCGGCGAGATTGAGCAAGGAGGCCGAGGAGTAAGAGGAGCGGGATGATGAACAAGAGCGCCAAGGGCAGGGGCCGGTGAAGAGAATCCATTCGTATGGGTTTTGAGCGAGGAGGCCGACGAATTGTGATATGAACATGATATATGCAATAAATTAAAATGAAAAGGGTAACAGTGTGAAAGGAGTTAACGGCCGGCCGGAAGCATTGAAGGAAAGGAGGGAGAAATGTGAGATTTGACAGCATGCAAGTTAAACAAACAATTGGGTATCGGAGGAGCATGGAAAGGGAGATATTTTTGTTGGTGGGGTGATCAGGTGGACCATAAATATCTCTACACATGTTGCCAAAATATATATTATTAATAAATTTGTTACTTAAAATAAACATATATTATGAAATATATCTTATATGTAATTATCATTTAAACTTATGTCCTTTTTAGTAATTTCCACATATCTAAAAACACTTCTGACATTAATTATCCAAACACTCTTACCTTATCAGAATCACTTTTTTAAAAAATCTATTCTTTCAAAATCTATTTTCTCCAGAATCTATTCTCCAGAAGCTATTCTGTAAACCATGGTTTTGTCTCATCCAAACACCCCCTCAGTGTAATGAGATTTTGTTGTTGTCGTGAATTTTTTTAACACGCGCGCATATTTGAACCCGTGCAATGTTGGGCGGGGGGTCAGGGAGTAGACTGGTTAGATATAAATAAACTTAAAAACATTTTTCAGAAATTCTAGAAGAGTTGGTCAAGAATAGAAGCAATTTGAAAGAGATTTTCCATGTTCTCATTGACAAAAACGGTGACATTTTTCTATCGGTCCAAGCATTTCGCTCACCAAAATTATGGAACGACACAACAGGACGGCTCCAAATTAGATCATCTCGTTCTGCCATGCTTCATATTTTTCCTTAACAAGACCCTATTAACTACTTTCACAAAACTAAGAAACTTAATTAAAAGGAATAAAATATCAAAAATATTTTTTAAAAACACCAATAGAAAAAAGGAAAAATCTCAACAAAAAAAAAATCATTGCTGAATTTTAAAATTCTAAATCAGGATTAGTTACTACACTCGTAAAAAAAAAAAGACTAAATGACAATATATTTTTATAGTAATTCCTGATTTGGAATTTTGAAATTCAATAGTAAATTTTTTGGGATTTTTTCTAGAAAAAATTATGTACTCATCCCTTTTGCCTTCAAGGGCATATGATAAAACTGATACTGTTATATAGATGTTCTCATTTCTCCTGAGGTGTCTTTGATTAGATTATGTACAGTGAAAATTACCAGATTTCTAACACACAAAACAAGATGCTGCAAGCAACTCCAACTCAAAAGGTACTAATAATAAAAAGACGTGGTAAAAGGTTTTCATTATAATGAGGCTGCATCTACATGACCATTATATAGCATGAAAATGGAGAAGGAGGACGCCAAAATAAAAAATAATTAAAAGACAAAAATGTGATTTTTTTTTCCCCTTCTCTTTTCAAGAATTGAATGAACAAAAATTCATGGCAAGCTACCCAAACTAAAGTATACCTATATATATGTAGTGGAGTTAATGCCTGTGAAGTGAAGCTTATAGCTTAAAAAGGTGGCCAGGGTCATCGATGATGGTTGCGCCTTCTTCTCATCAGTCTTTTCTGCCCCTTAAACGGATCGACCCAGTTTCTATCCTCAGCTACAGCTTGGTTCCATCGCTTTTTAAAGATTTCCAGTTCCCACGTTGACTGCCTTCGTATCTGCAAAGTCCCAGTGTTTAACGTTAAGCATAATTGTCGTCGACTGAAGAAGATACCCGAGGCTAAATCAAATTACTAAGAGTGGTATATAAGCCTCACCTCGCCTCGCGAATCGAGAGATGATGAGCTTTGTTTCTGATTATGAAGGACAATCAGCAAAAGATGAATGAAAGACCATGAAGTTGATGAAATAGTAAACAAGAGTACTAGAGAGAATCATCTAAAAAATTAAATGAAACCAAAAACTGTGTACCTTGATTAGCTTCCTAGAATCTGAACCCTGTGAAAAGAGAAGAAAAGAAACTATCATTTTGCAGAAAAACGCCATGACAATCAAGTTATCGAGGTACTTTTCTTCCTCTGTATTAATGGTTTACAGCAACCTGGTTGTGCTACCGAAAGAAATTAGAGGTGGGGAAAGAAGCAGAGTACCTTTGGGGTATCATGACCATCCCCACCCAAAGTTTGTATTCCCTTATGAACCACAAACACGCTATCAACAACTCCCACCTTTTTCGTGCGGTCACCCTGAAAAAATGACGTTTTTTTCAATCCTAATGATAGTCATGCAGCAAATGAAGCTAAGGGAAGCAGGAGAAATGTAGCAAACTGTAAATTAGTGCGGCTCATTTTTCAAACTTCATGTAATCATAGCAGCCCCTATCACAGAGAGAACTAGGAAGGAAAAGAAGTTTCCACATCGTCAGAAGCAATGAAACTTGTCCTAAAACTATGATTTTCTCACCTGTGCACAATATCCTAGCTTCATATCCATTCCCCATCCATGAACAAGGTCATTCTGGACAAAAGAACAATGATAATGATGATTTTGCAAAAATACCAAACAAAATTGATGTGTTTTTATCTGTTACCATGCGAAAGAAAATTTGAGCTCCTGAAAATTACAAAACTAAGTTTGGACTTGTTTACGATTTCAAGCAAATATCCAATTGAAAACAAACCAATATTTTTATTTTCCTGCAGAAATCAAATTATTGCCCCACATCTAAAAACTTAGATAAAAGCCTTTTGGCACCTTTGCAGACTTGGATTGATTCATATGATTAACTAATGAACTTGTGCGACTAAAAAAATACACAAGACATATTTTATCATAAGATAATGATTAAGTTTAAAAGCAATTGACTTGTCCCAAGCAAAAACATACAAAATTGATATGGACCGTGGGAATAATATTACCTGAATAAGATGCCAGGCACAATACCAAGCAGACCGAGAAAAAACAGGAGCCATACCTTCCACAAACCTATAAAAGTTGTGTTCAAAGTTTTGCTTCAATCACAATGTCATTATAGAATATGTAAATAGCCAAATACCACAATCTGTCATGAACCACCACATTATGAAATATGAACCAGAGAGGATCTCAGTTTTAAAGTGTTCTTGTTCTTTCTGATTCTTTTTCTGAAAGTATGAGATGAAGGAGAAAATAAACAGGACTGAACGCAAATATAGTGTATTCCAGGGTCATTTCTTCATCAAGGTACAGAACAAAGGTTTAAACCAATCTTTTCAAACCTATTCCGCATGATCATCCTCGACCAACAAATCAAAGGTAGGACAAACTTATCCGACATCAAGGTCTAACTTTCAAGGAAATGAGCCCCTCCAATTAACATGTAGCCTAGCATATTCAATGATGTGTTCGAGAGCACCAGTATCTCAAAGGTGAAATATCAATTTACATGGGGAAACAGAAAAATGAATATAAGATGTTTACCTTGACATATAATGGTATTATAATGAAGTGAAGTAATTTATGTCAACATGATAAAGCAGCAGAAGATGGACAGAACCACTCAACGATCTGGTTAGGATAACTGAATAGCTAAAATTAACTTCTCTAGAAAGTTCAAACTAACCACTTACCCTGTGCATGGTGGCCCTTCACTAGCATCTGAACACTTTGTACTGCCTCTGCGTTCATATACCCTTCTGCATGTATGCACAGTGCATACTTCAGTTTTTTTGTATTACAAGCATTGATTAGTATTTAAGATGCGCCCATCACTAGTCTCTAGCAACTAACCTATGAACTTTCTTGGTTCTTGCTCTAATGGTAATCCTATGATGTATCTCGGTTGAATTCGGGTCAAGAGCAGGTTGAGAAATTTCCAATCCTTCATCTTTTATAATTTCAAGGTATCTGCAAAAAATAAGACCAATATCAAATCTGTAGCTTTCATACAATGAGGTTTAATATAGATTCAACAAAATAGTATACGAAATGTTTTAACAATCTAATGAACTCCTTTCAGCAAACCAGAAGGTTGACTATCAACGTTATACAAATAATAAAAATTACATTTTCAAACACCCCCAAAAAAAAAAGTACAGGCTAAAACGTGTCAATATGTCAACAATAAGGTGCAAAAGAATCTGCCTGACCTGGAAGGGGAAAAATGCTCTACTCCTAAATCTTCATCCCAGAGAAAGATATAATCATAAATAGAAACTATATCCGGATGTAGAAATCTTTTAGCAAACCACCTGTAAAGGGACTCAAATATTACTACACAGTTAAACAGATAAACGATATAAGTATAGACACGAGTAAAATGTGCATACCCCATGTCATTAAGAAGAAAAATAAACATCTAAGGCAAGTGTTGTAAGAAAAACAGTAGTCTGCTATGACCAAGGACACAACAGCCTAAAGGATACATAATGTAACAACAATGACATGGCCAAGCCAAGGTCGTCCATTCAGGCAGTTCTAAAATACAGAATTCTTCATCCTTGATCACTGAGAATCCTTTAGCGTATCTAAAGCATCATATGGTTACATGATACTTTTTCAAGTTCAGAAGTGCTTCACAGTCAGAAAAGTGAAGACTGATTTCATTAAGGTAACAAGAGCCATAATATTCTCCCAATTTCTGATGCTTATATAGCCCGATCAGCTCATTCTAAGTCTAAGAGACGTTTTGAATTTCAAAAAATCTCTTCCATGGTATAGAACTAACATGCAATATGTGTTCCTGGTCCATTGAAAAAGTAGAGCAACCTCTCTCAGACTTCCACCGGCCATGTGATTCAAAATTAAAAGTTATGGAAAAGTGCAGTCATCAATGGTCATTCACATCCTTACCATTTTGTTTGGTTATGAGCAGCTATGTGTATAGCCTTGCTACTCCACTTGAGATCCCCCCATCCATTCACATTACCATCGTAATGGAACAAAATGATTGTAAAATTTTCTCGAAGAAACTGAAATCAATAAAATTAGATAAGTTATGCTAATGTAAATAATTTTGACCATCTTATGATTTGATACCATACCTTCTGCACCATTACATTGACATT